ATTGGAGGGAGCTAAAGGTGAATGAATCAATTCACATACATACACACACACACACACACACACACACAGTCTCACACACACACAAAAAACAAACAAACAACAACAACAACAAACAAAAAAAAAACTGGGGGGGGGGCGGGAGAGGAAGATATAACAACCACAATTTTTTTTGAAGTTCTTACAACAAGAAAATGGAGGGGACACACTTGGGTGGGAGGGGGGAGAGGGAGGAGGGGGAGAGGTTTCAGTGATGGGACACAATAATCAACTACATTGTATATTGACAAAATAAAAATAATAAATTAAAAAAAAATGTACTTGACAAATAAAAAAAAAATTCCATGTTTATGATATATGCATTTGTTGCAACTGCATTTACCAGGTTTATATCTCGTCATCATTCATGCCTCCTTCTACTTCCTACACATAAGTAAATTAAGGTGTAGGATTAGCTGGAATTTTAATTTTCCTTTTTCCATTTTCTATATTTTCAAATTTTCTTCAATAAGCATGTAAGTGCAATCTGTTTTAGTTTTCTTGGGCTTTTAAATTACAGAAGTAAGGGCCGGCCCGTGGCTCACTCGGGAGAGTACAGTGCTGATAACACCAAGGCCATGGGTTCGGATCCTATATAGGGATGGCCAGTTAGCTCACGTGGAAAGCGTGGTGCTGACAATACCAAGTCAAGTTTTAAGATCCCCTTACCGGTCATCTTTTAAGAAAAAAATAATAGTAATAAAATAAAAAATAAATAAATAAATAAATTACAGAAGTAATACATGCTTATTAAAAAATCAGAACAAAAACATATAGACTATTAAATAAAAATTATAGGAGACCACACATCAAAGATGTATGTTTGCTTCCTAATATTCCCAGATCAATGTTATCAATTCCCTTATTTACCTGAGTGAGCAGTTACAGAAGATCTCATTTCAGAACAACAGCCATCCGGTCTTCAAAATCCCGGTGACTGTCTGCCTTTTTCACTGCCTCAACAATGTAATGAAAACTGGTGAAGAATGTGGGCAGACATCCAAGCAAGACACTGAGCAGGTAGGTGCGGTATATGCAGGTGGCCAGCTCTGTTTAGAAACTTTTTGATGTTGACAGATCCAGGTATCACACAGCCTCTCCCTAGACCTTTAAAGAGAATCCAGCTGAAGTATGCACTGCTGAGGACACCACTCTGCCAATAGCATTCTCTGGGGTCTCCCTCTGTATTCCACCAGTGAGCCAAGACTACCTAGTGCTGTAATCAAGTGGAAAGGACTTAGTAAGTGTTGGCTTGTAGTAAACATTCAATAAATTATAATTGCTATTTACATGAAAAGATGCTCAACATCATTAGTCATTAGGGAAATGCAAACCAAAACCAAAATAAGATACCACTTCACACCCAAAAAGACAGAAAATAACAACTGTTGGCAAGGATGCAGAGCAATTACAGCCCTTTATACATTGTTAGATTGTAAAATAATGCAGCCACTTTGGAAAATGTTTTGGCAGTTCCTCAAAGTGTTAAAAATAGAATTGCCATGTAACCTAGCAATTCCACTCCTTGTTATATACCCAGAACTGAAGACATATGTCTATACAAAAACTTGTACACTCATGTTCATAGCAACATTATTCAAAGAGCCAAAAAGTAGAAACAACCCAAATGTCCATGATCTGATGAATGGATAAATACAATGTGGTATATCCACATGATGGAATATGATCCAGCAACAAAAAGGAATGAGGTACTGATACATCCTAAAACATGGATGAACCTTGAAAACATTATGCTAAGTAAAAGAGGCCAGTCACAAAAGATCGTATATCGCAATGCCATTTATATGAAAAGTCCAGAAGATGTAAATCTACAGACACACAAAGTGGACTAGTGATTGCCTAGGGTTGGAGGAGTGGGGATGGGTGAGTGGAGAGTGACGGCTAAAGGGTACTGGGTTTATTTTAGGAAGGATAATTCTAAAATTAGATTGTGGTGATTGTTGCACAATACTATAAATATACTAAAGAACATTGAATTACATACTCTATATGGGTGAATTGTATATGCAAATTTCATCAGAATAAAGCTGTTTAAATAAAATCATGAACAGGTCTAGGGCAACTTTTTTTTTTTTTTCCTTTTTGTCTTTTTTCGTGACCAGCAACGGATCGCAACCCTCAGTGTCGCGCCCGTACCGGACGGGGACCGGCAATGGGATCGCAACCCTCGGTGTTGCACCCGCACCTCGCTCAGCCAGTGAGCGGGAACCGGTCTGTATGTGGGATCCGAACCCTCCGCGGGAGCGCCGCCACGCTCCCAAGCGGCGCACTGTAGCAGTGCGCCACCGGGCCGGCCCTAGGGCAACTTATATAATGGGGAAAAAAATATTTTCTGCGTTGGCCCTCTTAGTTGATACAAAGGATGATGAGTCTTCAGACAGATTGCAGGTACTTTCTGTGGGGTTCCAACATCCCCTCCAATGACTGTCACCTTTCATTACATCACTGTCAAGATCCCTATTCCCCTTCCAACCCTCTCAAAACCATTATCTCACTAACTTAATACACTGAGGTTATACAAGTCACATGGTATTTTCCTCTGCACGCAGGTAGAAGACATACTGGAAATGTCCTTGATGGCTCTTGGGAAGATCCAGGAAGCATTTCTACAGCAGGACCAGTTTTCAAAATCTTCAATGTCTTTGACCTCTTCCATTGCTACTCTGATGCTGAGCAGGTTAACAGAGGAGGAAGGAAGGGGGAGAATTTCATTTAAGGTTTTTGACCTTTGGAGAACAAAAATTGCTTTCCATTTTAACTTCTTTTTTTTTTTTTTTTTTTTTTCATTAGCCAAAGCATATCAACTTTGCCTCTGAGCTCTTATGCTCTGGGTTTCCCAGCGCCTGTGAGGTTAGGCTTTCCATCAGCTTCAGCTTTGGAGGAGCTCTTTAATAAACACCCAGGAATTAACTTCCATGTGAGTGTGAAATTGATTCTGACTAGAATGAAAATGGGATTTGATTGCCATGTAGGCATTTGAGTGAATATTTATTTACTATGAAATATAAGCTGACTAGACCAGACCAAATGAGAGAAGGTTGTGTTTTATTAATTTCTATCTCATATTGGCAGGGATAGAGGCCTCTTAAAAATGATCCGGTATAGAGATTGAGAGCATTAAACAATTTCTGGATTTAACTAAGTTTCTGTGTTGTGATTTGATCTCAACTCTTCATTATTTACACAAAGGTGGGAATATCCGAATAACTATTGACTCAGTATACCAAGCTAGTCACATCAGGAAATTGTATTCCTTTCAGAAATTTCCTACAAACACGAGTAGCATTGTTGCCTTATCCTAGAGAGCAGAATACCTACATCCTAGTAAAATAGAATCCTCCAGGTATAAAGATGTAAAAATATAATAATTCCAAGGGTCCCACATATATGTCTCATCTTTAATTGTTTCTCATAGATGTTACAATGTGAGATTTATTTCATTTGAGATATTAACAGGGGAAAAATCCCAACGTTTACTTTAGTTTATGATATCTGATACCTTGTTACCTATCAGGGGTCATTTATAAATATTTCGACAATTGACGAAACTGCACTTTTCTTTGTCTCTAGGTAACAGGACTAGCTTTTAATACCTTCAGAGATTTTGATGACAGGAACACTATTGGAAACATTGGAAGCTCTAATAGTAACTTGCTCCAAGTCCATGATTTAGCAGAAGATGTTGAGGTATGAATTGATTCTTAGGGAATAAGATAGAAGGAAATAAGATATCCTGGAGAGGGCCGGCCCGTGGCTCACTCGGTAGAGTGCGGTGCTGATAACACCAAGGCCGCGGGTTCGGATCCCATATAGGGATGGCCGGTTTGCTCCCTGGCTGAGCATGGTGCTGACAACACCAAGCCAAGGGTTGAGATCCCCTTACCGGTCATCTTTTAAAAAAAAAAAAAAAGATATCCTGGAGAGGGCCGGCCCGTGGCTCACTCGGTAGAGTGCGGTGCTGATAACACCAAGGCCGCGGGTTCGGATCCCATATAGGGATGGCCGGTTTGCTCCCTGGCTGAGCATGGTGCTGACAACACCAAGCCAAGGGTTGAGATCCCCTTACCGGTCATCTTTTAAAAAAAAAAAAAAAGATATCCTGGAGAGGGCCGGCCCGTGGCTCACTCGGTAGAGTGCGGTGCTGATAACACCAAGGCCGCGGGTTCGGATCCCATATAGGGATGGCCGGTTTGCTCCCTGGCTGAGCATGGTGCTGACAACACCAAGCCAAGGGTTGAGATCCCCTTACCGGTCATCTTTTAAAAAAAAAAAAAAAAAAGATATCCTGGAGAATAGGATGAAAGGATGGAACAATTTGAAAGAAATAATAAATGTATGACAATGTCATTGTTTTGTTATTAACGTCTTTACTTAGGAGTTTTTACAAGGAGATATCCCTTACCATTAGGAAAAGGTATTTTAGGTCTTAGATTATATACTCTTCCTTAGCCCCTGGCACTATTATTCAAAGAGAAAGACCTAGGAAGTTTTATTACCTTAAAACTATAAAGGAGACTGAAAGTAATCAATGGATGGACCATCTTAAACTTGAAGATTGATTAACTGTCTCTTATTCTAGATCATGCTCTGGAGAAACGCTGCCATTGGAAACCCACCCCACCAGCCTCAACATGAACACAGACCATTTTATAATCATGGTGAACATTACTTCCTTAGAGAAATCCCTGATAGTGAGCATAGAGCCTGAAAGTCCCTTTTAATGACCCTCTACCTGCATTTCAGTATCAGCCTAACCACACTTTCACCTAAACATCACCCTTCCAAAGGACCAGGTGTGGCAGAAAAGTAAAACCCCATCAGATGTCAAAAACTAAATTTGAGGGCCGGCCCGGTGGCGCACTGCTATAGTGCGCCGCTTGGGAAGCGCGGCAGCGCTCCCGCCGAGGGTTCGGATCCCACATACAGACCGGTTCCCGCTCACTGGCTGAGCGAGGCACGGGAGCAACACCGAGGGCTGCGATCCCGTTGCCGGTCCCGGTCCGGTACGGGCGCGACACTGAGGGTTGCGATCCGTTGCCGGACACGGAAAAAAAAAAAAGACCAAAAAAAAAAAAAAACTAAATTTGAAGTGCACTTTTTTCTTTTTTTAAATTTTTATTTTTGAGATAATTATGGATTCATATGCAATTGTAAGCAATAAAACAGAGAGAGCTCTTACACCTTTCACCCATTTTCCCCGAATGGTAACATCTTGCATAACTGTAGTACAATATCATAACCAGGAAATGACATTGGTACAATGTATTGACTTTATTCAGATTGTGCCAGCTTTAAAAATCATTCATTTCTCTGTGTGTGTATTTAGTTCTATGTAATTTACTCACATGTGTAGATACATGAGACCATTAAATGCATTTTTTAAAAAGATGGATTATGGAATGGATAGAGAAGGATGTATATGTGATAAAGCAAATTTAGTAAAATGGTGGGTTTTTTTTTTTTTTTTGTCTTTTTCCGTGTCCGGCATCGGATCGCAACCCTCAGTGTCGCCCCCGTACCAGACCGGGACCGGCAATGGGATCGCAACCCTCGGCGTTGCTCCCGCACCTCGCTCAGCCAGTGAGCGGGAACCGGTCTGTATGTGGGATCCGTACCCTCAGGCAGGAGCGCCACCGCGCTTCCCAAGCGGCGCACTATCCAGTGCGCCACCGGGCCGGCCCTAAAATGGTGGGTTTTTATGTCTTTCTTGGAAGCTGGCTAGTACAGTGAACCAAACCATTGACCTTGATGTTACGAGGTTGTGCTCTAATCAACTGAGTTAACCAGCCAGCCCAAGTTTAGTAAAATGTTAATTGTAGAATCTAGTCAGTGATTATATGAGTGTTCACTGCAAAATTCTCTCAACTTTCCATATGGTTGAAAATTTTCATAATAAAATGTTGAGACCTGCAGAAGAAGTAAAATTCCAACACCATGGGTCATATATATTTCAAACTTTGTATATTGTAGATGAATATATATAAAATATATCAACTTTATTTCTAATCTTGGATTTGGGTAAGGCCCAGAGATATCTCATAAGTCTTGGTATAAGACCAGAATGACTATATTGTAGTTTAGAAAAGTTAAGAATTTCCAAGACATGTATTAATAGTTGAACATTTCTGAGATATGTAAATAGTGCCCAGATATACTTAATCAAAAATGTGCTCTGTGGATATAAATTTTAAATGTAGTGCTGAAAGTATTAATAAAGACCTATCCTTTTGCATTTAAAAAAAAGATAGGAAAAATCCTGAGAATGGAGAAAGTGTGTTATAGTCTCCCTTCATGACAGTCTTCCCATATCGAAAGAACTTTTCCTGGCTCTCGCGTAGGCCTTACTAACACAGGAATGATCACTTTTTAGGTCATTCTTCCTCTTAGGCCAAGCACCTGAAGCAGCCACCCTCCCCTTGGGCTGCCAGCTACCTAGCTCTGCCTGCATTACCAATGGGCTCTTTCCCAATTCAGAAGGTGCACTCAGTTCTTCGTGCTGGTCCTGGTAATAATATTGTGTCATTTAGAGCTGGAAGGACCCTTACAGTTCCTAAGTTTGAAAGACGAGACTTCTTGTTGGAAAGATGAGAAAACTGGGTCCCAGAGAGACTGAGTGACTTGCCTAAGCCCTTAACAGCCACCTAGTGACAGAGGCAGGCCGCCCTCAGGTCTGTGGCATGCAGCCCAGGGCTCTGTCCCTGGACCCACTCTATTTCTATCCTCACTTCAGCCTCAGGTTTCTTTTGTTACCTAGGTCTTCTATCTACCAATTTACATATGCGATTATTTCATTTTTCTAAAAGTCATAATACATTCTAATTCATTAGACCTAAATTTTTATTTATCAAAATAATATGATTCTTTGCTGGAACTGCAGTAAACCAGAGCCCAGGATTGCATCACTGGTCATTTTCTCTCAAATTGATGTCACTCCAGGCTTATCATTTCCTCATTTGTAAAATAAGATTATAATATTAATAGATCCTTCAGAAGAAAGGTTCTAATGGTATTTTTATCCCATTTGTAATATAACTAGGCACACTCCTTTGTTCTAAGATGAGGAATACACGTGGGTGCTGATTCCAGGGAGTCTGCAGTACGGAACTGGCACCTACTACATAAAAGCTGTGCTGAATAGAAGTGAGGAGACTGCTCAGCAGACACCCACCCTGGCCTCAGTTGTAACTGCTGTCACTCGGTGTTATTTCTGGGACAGCCGCAACAAAACGTGGAAGAGCAGTGGATGCCAAGTAAGGAGCTGAGCCACTTCTCCCGCCTCTCTTCTACCTTAGCTGCCACTAAACATGCACCTGTTATCTACTTTGGGGCAGCCCAGAAAGAAAAATAATTAGAAGGGAAATAAATCGGCCTGGGGAAAAGGAGAAAGGTTGTGTGTGGGGAGCAGGGAAAGTGTGTCTCTTTGGAGCAGGAGTGGGCTTGTGCTTTATCTCTTTAATTTCTTTCTCAAACAGTCCAGGTAAATCTTGACCATTCCATGAAAAATAGTGAAGGCAGCTCTGATGCTGGAGAAACAGTGTGGAGAGGCCTGAGAGCCGGCCTCAACCCACCCCGTCCTCTTTTTTTTTTTTTCCTTTTTGTCTTTTTTTACTGACCGGCAACGGGATCGCAACCCTCGGTGTTGCGCCCGCACCGCACTCAGCCAGTGAGCGGGAACCGGTCTCCACATGGGATCCGAACCCTCAGTGGGAGGGCCACCGCACTCCCAAGCGGCGCACTCTCCAGTGCGCCACCGGGCCAGCCCCCCACCCCGTCCTCTTACCAGGTTCTTGACTCTGCCACAGGAAAGAATTCAAGAGCAGTCACAGTAGAACGTGAGAACGGGTTTAATGTAACAAATAGGAGATACAGATTTCACAGAGAAAGTGTGGCATAGCTCTAGAGATTGAGCAGGGCCCACACCAAGTTTAATATAAAAGTAAGAAATACACACTTGAAGTCTAGTACAGAGTGCAGGCTGGCTCGCCCAGTAACACTAAGTTTGACACAAAAGAAAGCATACATACGTCATCCAGCAAAGCGTGGGCTGGCCCCAGGAAGGTGGGCATCAACCCCACCTCCGGCTGCAGTTCCACTTTTGTAGTTTCATGTCTGATACATGTTCATGCTATCTAATGAATATTCAACTGTTTTGCTCTATTTACTTCTTTTTTTGGTTGTTTTGTTCGTTCATTTGTTTTGGCAGCTGACTGGTAAGACATATTTTTTAAGGTAACACTCAGAAATAATTGAAGTCCTCTGTGTATCCCTCCCTCGTCTCATCCCTTCCCTCCCACCAAAGAGTAACCACTCTCCTGAATTTGGTGTATGTATTCACTCTTTCAGTAAATATTTATCGAACATCTTCTCCATGCCATGTATAAGTCCAGGAACTAGAGATACAGCAATGAACAGGACAATATCCTCACAAGCTTACACTTCGGAGAGGGAGACTGACAACAAATAGATGAAATAAGTGTTGTTGTGTGTGCTTCTAGGCTGTGCGTAAATGGCACCATACTGTATATATCCTTTTTAACTTCTTTTATTCACTCGGCATTTATCTATATTGATACATTTACCTCTCATATGCCCATTTTTTAACTGCTGCATGGAATTCCATCAGTTTGACTGTACTCACTTATTTACTTGTTTGTATGTCCATTATTGGACATATTGGCTGTTTCCTATTTTCATAGTTGTAAACAACGCTGACAGAAACATTCTTTTTCACGTCTTTGTGCACATGTGCAAAGTTTCTCTAGGAAATGTGTTCATAACTGGAACTGCAGGATTCAAAGAGATTGTGCTTCTTCAGTTTTACTACATGTTTCCAAATTGCTCTCCACACTGATTATTCCAATTTACACTATCACCAGCAGTGAATGAGAATCTTCACATCCTTTTCCATCTCTAAATTGCCTGTATTTAAGTTTTATGTTTATTTATCCAATTACAATCAATGTCTTGATTCTAATTCCAGGCTGGGCCACAGAGTGCAATTTGGTTTTTTTGGGGGGGGGTTTTGTCTTTTTTTCGTGACCTGTAAGGGGACCACAACCCTTGGCTTGGTGCCGTCCGCACCGCACTCAGCCAGTGAGCGCACCGGCCATTCCTATATAGGATCCGAACCCGCGCATACATTATACGAAGTTATCGACCACAACCCTTGGCTTGGTGCCGTCCGCACCGCACTCAGCCAGTGAGCGCACCGGCCATTCCTATATAGGATCCGAACCCGCGGCAGGAGCGTCGCTGCGCTCCCAGCGCTGCACTCTGCCGAGTGCACCACGGGCTCGGCCCCACAGAGCGCAGTTTGGAAGACACAGTGTCTCTGTAACCATCTGACCCTCTTTGGCAGCAACTTCTTCATTGTGCCCAGGACAGTGAATGTTAAAGACACAATCAAACTGTTCCTTCGTGTGACCAACAACCCTGTTGGTGTGTCATTTCTGGCCAGCATTTTAGGATTCTATATGATCATGGCTGTGGAGGCTTGGAGAAAGGATCAAGCAGATACGCAGAATGTGTTGAGACTTTGAACCCTAAAGCTTTGCCACAATGTCTTGAGTATATTAAGTGAGACGGGGAAAACCCACCATTATCAAAAGAAACAGTAACATGGTATTAGTTGGTATGGAAATTCAAGTGGGACATGTCTTAAATTTCTCTTTATATCTACTGTCTCAAGACCAAAGAATGTAAGACTTTATTTCCTTTTTTTTTTTTTTTTTTTTTTTTCAGCCAAGGTCAGACCCTCATGGGACTCATTTAGGTTAGGACTGAGCCAAAAGAAAACACCTAGAAAGCTTAACTAAAATCAAATGCAAGTTAATCTCGTTTTATACATTTGATATGAAAGTTATGTGTAAGTTAAATTATAATTTAATGTAACTATTTACAAGAAACATGTAAGGAATCTTTTTTGACACTAAAAAAATCCTTTGATGACAGCCTCTTCTTAATTTCTGTTCTATGTGTTTCTTATTTAATGTTTTTTTACACTTGGAAATTTTAGAATACACATAGTGTTCATTTCTTTATTGTACAGGGTGAAGGGTTGCCAGCTTTAGTAAACAAAACTATAGAATATATAGTTAAATTTGCATTTCAAATAAATAGTAAATGCTTTTTAGTATAAGTATGCCCCCAAATTATTCACTGTTTTCTGAAATTTATGTCTAACTAAAGATCCTATATGTTATCTGGTAACCCTACCTGAGTGGGAGGGAGGTAAAAGGATTTAAACACCCAAGACCTAATCTGTTAATTCTATGAATATTTCATTCCAGAAGCATAAGCCGTGGAGTTTTAGGCCTCATCCCCTCTCTAGTCACATAATTTAGGTCTGCTTGCTTGTTTGTCTGTCTTCTAACTGCAACTTCACCCTTGCTTTCTGTAGGTTGCCAAATCTGCAGCTGGGCATCCTCCTGTTCCTTAGCTGGAGGAAGCAGGGGGCTGTACTAAGTAGAAGCCTGATGAATTTCTTGGTTGTGCTTTTCACACAGGTGAAGGTCACTGTCCTGGATGATAATGATCCCAGCTTTCAAGTTCACCACCTTACTCAGGTCTACACTGGATGTCGAAGAAGGGCCGCTACAACAGCTAAGGTTAATGAAGTAAATGTTCTTCATTCACTGCTTTGTGTCTTCTATCGCATGAGATGCACTCTGTCTTGGTGATATCCCAGGCTCCAATAGCACTCTAAAAGGAATCACAGAGATTGGTATTTCCTAGTTCTACACTGTAAATGTAAAGAGATGCTGTACTTGTCCAAGATTCCAAAGACTTCATCTAAGTACAGTTTTCCATGTCTTTATCTTTCTCCTTAGAGATAAACCCAAATGATCGTGTTAAAATTTCCTCTATTTTATCTTACCTTGTCACGTTTTAGGTTGTTATCACTCTCCATGGATGAGAGGGACAAAGTGAGCCCCATCACCTCTGTGATCCCCAGAAGACAGTCTTCTACAAGGGGGACTGGATGCCTTCCTTCTCACCACTCAGTCCTCTCTCAGGGAACTGCACAGCCTTCAGCTCTGGCATGACAATTCTGGCATCAGCCCTTCTTGGTAAGTACCTGCATCATGCTGGCTTGTTTCTTCTTTGTAGGTCATTAGTATCCTAGAGAGAGACATGCATGTCATCACAATAAATAACAATGATGCTTTGGGGCAGACAGTAACAAATGACTATTAGATTTATGTTTTAAAGCTGTTTGCACAGAACAAATCTTGGGGGGAAAAACATGAAAAATTAATAGTATGATTTTTTGGATGATACAATGATAGATGTTTTGTTTTCTCTCATTTTATTTTCATTACATGTTGTAATTGTGAAATGCAAATAATAACAATGAAATATTGCTCAAAGTACCATAAATTAAAAGTATCTCAATGGGTCGGCTTTAGCTCAAGCGGTTACTTCCTCAAGCCAGACTTCATTCTGTCTAAAAGTATCTCAAATATGAAAAATATCTCTAAAGCATAAATTTAATAAACTATCTACTGAATTTACTTTGGGTCAAAATTGAGAGCTTAAGGAGAAGGGAAGGAATGGAATTACCATGTAGGATGCACCTAGGGAATTAGAGAGAAATGGTCAGTGATTGAGTACGTGAACCTGACATGTGCTAGGTCCAAATGATTCTGCATCATCCTTCAGCAGCACTCTGAGAATTAGAGAGGTAGGTGGAGAAACTAAATGATAAAATTAATTGAAGGATAAAGATTATTGTTTTCTTTGGTTTTGGAAAAAAGAAGGGAATGAAGTAAATGATCTAAGGTTTCAGGCACTCAAAAGAATCAGTTGTCAAATGTTACTCACCTGAAAAGAATATGCAGTCTGCCTAAATTTATTAGCAAAATGAGTTTTTCCCTGAAAGGCTAGATATACCAACCACTAGGCCAGTAGAGCCTAATAACTTACTTGCTGCTTCTATTCTGCTCAGGTATCTACAAAACAGTTTGTATACTATTGTTCCAGTTTTATTTGTAAAGGTGAATAAGATACAATATGCACTTGAAAAGATGTTCAACAATCATTAGTCATCAGGAAGTGCAAATTAAAAGCATAGTGAGATAGCACTAACCACCTGCCAGAATGGCTAAAATTCAAAAATCTGCAAAAAATAAGTTTGGACAAGGATGGGGATCAACTGGAATGCTCACACACCACTGGTGGGAGTGTAAATGGTAAGCCATTTTGGAGAATAGTTTGGCAGTTTTCTTTGAAGGTTAAATGTACATTTACCAGATGATCCAGAAATTCCAATCCTAGGTATTTACCCAAGATAAATGGAAGCATATGTTCACTCATACATATATGTTCATAATAGCTTTTTTAATAGCCAAAAACTGAAACAACACAAATGTCCATCAAGTAAATGAGGAAACAAATGTTAGTATGTTCATTCACTGACAAACAAAAAGAGTAAATACATATGTTCACAACAACATGGATGAATCTTAGAAAACATCATGCTGGGTGAAAGAAGCCAGATACAAAGAATACATACTCTATGAATGTAGGTATGAAATTCTTTAAAAGGCTAACTAATCCATAGAGACAGAAAGCAGATCAGTAGTCTCCTGGGGCCAGGAGTGAGCAGGGAGAGGGTGACTGGAAAGAGGCACAGGGAGCTTTTTGGAGTGATGTCTTAATGGTGCTTACACAGTTGTATAGATTTGTCAAAATGCATTGAACTGTACATTTAAAATGGGCGCATCTTATCATATGTGTAAATTATACCACCATCCAGTTTTTTTCACTAATTCCAAATTTATTCACAAGTTATATTCCAGACACATTTTTTAAACATACTTTCCTTTTAATCTTATCCATTTTCATGCTTTAACTACCACTTTAATGATAACTCACAAATCTGTGATTCCAACTCTAAGTTTTCTGGTACCCGTTTATTGGATAAATCTAATCGGATGTCCTGGAGAGGTCACTGTACAGAAGGACCATTTGCAATGGTCTGTGTTCTGTTGAAGTGGGGAAATTTCCTGCAAATAGTTATGGTATTCCTTGAGAGGTAGTTATTCCCAAATCAATCATCGAGATTAAAAGGGGGAGGGGAAGGAGCTCTAAAAGGAAACTGATATTTAACCTTTTTTTTTTCAGTTGTTGAGGAACAAATTTAACACTCAAAGATTAATATCCTTAATGCAAAAGAACTCTTAAAAATGAATTAGATGGCCGGCCCGGTGGCGCACTGCTACAGTGCGCCGCTTGAGAGCGCGGCGGCGCTCCTGCCAAGGGTTCGGATCCCACATACAGACCGGTTCCCACTCACTGGCTGAGCGAGGTGCCGGTGCAGCACCGAGGTTTGCAATCCCGTTGCTGGTCCCGGTCCGGTACGGGCGCGACACTGAGGGTTGCGATCCGTTGCCGGACACGAAAAAAGACAAAAAAAAGGAAAAAAAAAATATATGAATTAGATGGGCTGGCCCGTGGCTTACTCAGGAGAGTGCGGTGCTGATAACACCAAGGCCCCGGGTTTGGATCCCACATAGGGATGGCCGGTTCGCTCACTGGCTGAGCGTGGTGCTGACAACACCAAGTCAAGGGTTAAGATTCCCTTACCAGTCATCTTTAAAAAAAAAAAAAAAAAATGAATTAGAAAAGTCTAAGCAGATAGGGCCAGCCTGTGGCTCACTCGGGAGAGTGCGGTGCTGATAATGCCAAGGCCACAGGTTCGGATCCTATATAGGGATTGCCGGTTACCTCACTCACTGAGCGTGGTGCTGACAACACCAAGCCAAGGGTTAAGATCCCCTTACTGGTCATCTTTTAAGAAAAAAAAAAAAGTCTAAGCAGAAATTTGGTGAAGGACATGAGCAGATAAGTCACACACCCCAAAGAAACACAGTGACTAAGAAGAATATTCTAAGATATTATCGTGGGGACGGAGGGGCGGGGTTGGCCTTTGACTCCTATCTCAGGACACAGGGCAGCTGGCTCTGTTGCTTGCCTAACTGTCAAGTTTTTTTTTTTTTTAAAGTATGTACATGGGAAAAGGTCTAGAGTATAGGTACTAAATTATTACCAGTAGTTATCTGCTCATAGTAGGATTATGAATTTTTAAATTTTTCTTCAGGAGACTTTTAGGTATTTTCAAGAATTTTAATAATAAACTTGTATTATTTTATAATCACAGGAAATTTAAAATTTTAAACAGATAATTGCTTTAGAAGAAACATTCAAAGAAATTCATACCTATGTAATATTATCCACTTTTTCCATTCTTATCACTGGTTTATAAGAATCCTAATTTTATATGTAGTTCTTTGATTATATTATTTTTTAACTCATACTAACTTTATGCTCCTCAAGTATAGAGATGATGTCTTATTAGTATTTGTATTCTCAGCAGCTAGTACAGTGCCAAGATTATAGTAGGACTCAAAACATATTTCTTATATTGGGCCGGCCCTGTCATCATTCTCCATACTTGCACATTTTCAGCCACTATTTCCTCAAATATGCTTTCTAAGTCTCTTCCTTTTTAATCTCCTTCAGGTACACTAATAATGTGGTACGCCAATTATGTCACTTGAAGGAGCCCTATAATTGCTCCAATTATGCCACCAAAAAAGAAATATATAGTTGTAAGTTGATCTCTTGTTGCAGAGAGTGACACCAGAATCACTTATTCTGCCATCTTGGTGATGTCAGTCACTTACTTTGCTTTAGTTCTTTGGACACTTGAGTTCTTTAAACATATTTAAAATAGCTGACTTAAAGTCTTTGTCTAGTAGATCCAGTGTCTTGGTTTCCTGAGGGATGATCTGGTGACTGCTGTTTTTCATTTTCTGTGTATGGACCATACTTTCTTGATTTTATTTTTGTTTGCTGTGTGTTTTTTGGTTTTGTTTGTTTGTTTATTTGTTGTATGTCTTGTGTTTTTTGTTGAAAACTGAAAATTTTAAATAATAGAATGTGGCAACTCTGGAAATCAGATTTCCTTCCCTTGCCCTAGGTTTTGTTGTTCTTAGTGTTTGTTGTTGTTATTTGTTTGCTTAGTGACTTTTCTGAACTAATTCTGTAAAGTCTGTATTCTTTGTCATGTGTGCCAACTGAAGTTTCTGCTCAGTTAGCTTAGTGGTCAGCTACTGATTAAACAGATTTTCTTAAATGCCTGGAAAAAATAAGTCTCTCAGTCTTTGCCAATGGGCTTTGTGTGTACATTGGGGCATACCTTCAACATTTGGGAAGGCAATTGACAACTCTGCCTTAGTCTTTACTTTCTGCTTTCTGAGAGCCTCAAGGTCATCCAGGGGTGAGAGCATGGGGTCTTTTCAAGTATTTCCTGAGCATGTGCACAGCTATGGCATGCAAACAGCCTTACACATGCCTGTGGACGTCTAGATTTCCAGGAATATATCAGAGCTTTTCAAAACTCCTATAGACTTCTCACTTCCCAGTTCTCCTAAGCGTTTTTGTTAGCCTATTGTTTGCCCATCACATCACGCAGCTGTTAAACAATTAAACAATTGAATAAAAATTCAACAATAAAGTTTAACAAAGAAGTTAGACAATTGCTTTTAAATATTTTTGATAATGCCCTAGGGAAAAAGTATTTTGCACTGGGTGAGCACACAGATCAAATAAGAACAGTTTTGCAAGTGGGATTTATCCTTGATGTTCCAATTTTTTTTTTTTTTTTTTTTTTTTTTAAACCGCCCCCCCCC